CTGCATCATAATTTAATAATCTCTAATCTGTATTTATTTGTCTATCCTCATCCCCCAATACATCTTCCTACACCTTATTTAATTGATTCTATTTTTCTATTGTATATACTGTGTCTAAACATCCTCTATTTTCTTGTATGTGCAATTTTTCCTGCTACTGGAAATACAATTTCCCGAAGGGAGTAATCCCAAGGGATTAATAAAGTCAAGTCTAAGTCTAAGTCTTCTTCTGGAATATCTCCAGGAAGAACAGAGCAATATCGACGACATAGTTCATCACCTCAATTTGACTGAACCACGAAAATGGACCCGCAGGGCAATCATGTATAAATATTACTGCGCATGCCCAACATTTCGCTGCCTGTTTTCGCCTATTTTTGCTTTGGCACCACATCGCCACTTATAGGCCTGGCATACATTTTGCAGCGTTTTCATGCATTCGTGTGGACGATCACATTTATTTTACGTCTCCGTCTTTACGACAAACGTTCTGGAAAATATTAGTGTTTCGTGTTCGTTTTGACTTTGTGTGGACAGGGCCTGAGACAAAGGCAGGGTTAACGAGCTGACAAGGAGCAGCTGTGTGAGAAGGACACAACGAGGGAGCCAAAGGGAAAGGAACACACACACACAAGAGGGCAACAGAGAATAGAAAAACATGAGAACTAACATAAATCTAGAAATTACAACAAAACAGGAATTAAACCAATAAAACTAGGAAACATGGAGCAAAGTAAAGGACAACAGAAACAAGACCATGACATTCAGAGGTAAAACAACTCGTATTAAAGGTGCCTAATAAAGCAAATGCAGACTGTTTTAATTTATGTTATGTGGACATATACTGTATTTATTATATAATTGTATGTCTGAAATAAACAATCTTTAACCAAAAAAAATTACTGATTCTTTTGCAGTATCAATGAATGCAATATTGTTATTATGAACAAACACTTTACCAGGACATGATGAATTAAGGGCTCTAAATGTACATTTTCTGGTGCCAGTAATATAAAAATCTTTAGCAATAGTGACACTATTACATAATGTATTCGTAAACTATGCCTTGTCTGTGCACTTTCAGCAATTTCCTTAGGTCATCACAAGATTATTTTGACTTGTAAGTCAGACTTTTCAAAGATTTGAACCCAATTCCACAACCAAGATATAAACCCCAGTCCTCCGCATGGCACTCAAAGAATTAAAACACAGCTGAAGTGCAGGAGTTTGCCCTCCAACTGGAGGGTTGTTGGTTCAATCCCTGGCTCCGGTTTTCAGTGTCTATGTTTCCTTGGGCAAGACACTTCGCGTGCATTACCTACTGATGGTGGTGAAAGGGACTGGTGGAGCTATTGTACGGCAGCCTCGCTTCTGTTAGTTAGCCCCAGGGCAGCTGTGGCTACAATGTAGCTTGTCACCATCAGTGTGTGCGTAAATGGGTAAATGACTGAATGTAGTATACAGCACTTTGGTGAAATCCTCTGAATTGATAAAGCTCTATATAAATACTGGCCAAAACATAGCCATGATCGCTGGATCGTACTTTAATTTTTAACATTATCCAGTGACCTAAATGAAAACATTTAGATTACCCCCTGTCACTCACACTTTCTTGTTAGGAAACAGCCAAATTTGTCCGTTATTTATTTATTTTTTTTGCAAGATATGTAAAAATGTAGTCGCTGTCTTCCAGCCACCTTACTGGCAGCATGTAGCAATGAGTTGGAGTAGGGCAGCATTGCTCCTTTGTGCATGTTTGTTTCTCCTTCCTGTAATGTCTGTCTATATTTACCATTGTTCAAGGAAAACAGCCACATTGTCAGTGTATTACAGGAATGTTTCTTCATAGCTTTAATCTCTTGTAGAGGAGTGTAGATTAAAACAGGTCAGGGTGCGGAGCTCAGCCGGAGACCCTGAGGTCAAAGGTCAGGAGCAAGAAAGACCTTTGCATTCCATGTGACTCCCCACATACACAAAAAAAAAAGACACACGCAGATGCTTGTAGCCACAAACATGTACAATTCACTGCCCTATTCTTACTACTCTCTATCCAGTAATGCAGTTGTTGTTCCTAAAAAACCAAAATAACTCCAAAGATAGACATATTAAGTGCACACTATGATGAGAATCCACTATGTTGTGATTTTTATCAGCAATGTGTCCCCAGGCTGGGCTACGTAAGAGCTGAAACAACATAGACTCATGAAAAAAATGATTGCTCAGACTATTAATGATGTGATATTTGGTCGGAGGTCTCTGGTGGGTTCATTATCAGCTGTGACCATTTATTTAACACGTGCTCACATCAGAAAACTATGCAGACTTATTTTAAAGACCCTCAAGTCTCTGGACCTTTTCTTATTTAAATTTCTAATAATAATTTAGACAGTAATTATTCAATTACTGTCTAAATCAAACTGTGTTCTTAGGTTAGTGTGCTACAGATGTTAATAAAACATTTAACTTGCAGCTGTTACAGATATGTAGTTTCACCTCATCAGACAGTGACTAAACTCAGTTTTAGGCAATCCCTGACGGCAAACATATCTCAACATGATCTTTTTTCTGGTCTTTTATTGCAGAGCTTATCCCCTACTTCTGAGAAGAAAAAAGCAGGTAAGTCCTTGCTGATTTGAAGTTTGTTGATGAAAATCTGGATTCTTCTCATATATCATGCCTTTATTCCCTTCCTTAAGTTTTTCTTTTGTCTGAGGTCTTATGTTATGCTGAGGTCATATTAGAAAATTCTAGAGCATTTCTCATTGATAACCTTTTTCACAACTTGAGGCCAAAGAGGACTCAGAGCAGCAGGAGATAGCAATTCACAGGAGACTCTGAGACAGAGGGTAAAAGATATAGATAAGGCACTAGACTCATCTTCTTGACCATCAAGTCTGCTGCATTTTGACGATAAGAGCTAGACTGAATGTCGTGCCTGGTGCACTTTTGAACCATTCCCTCATTCACCTTTGTCCTCATGGTTTCAGTTCACCTTCAACAGAAGTTCAAAAGTATTTCAGCAATTAGAAATAGAGTTCTCAATGAGTACTTGATACTGCCTTCTGAAGGTACCAAAGGCACTCTTTTTCGCAGTTCTCATGTGTCATCGTCAAACTTTAATGTATATGACTTGGATTTTGTATGAAAAACAAAAAAGACAGAACAGAGCATGAATTTGAAATAATATTTCAAATTCATGCATTTATAAATTCAGCTTATAAAAAAGATCATGGCCAATAATCATTTTTGTAAATCCGCAACTTCCAGCAAAATAGGTGCATGTCCTTTGGGGCATGTCTTATTTCTAATGTTTGACCATTGTTCTGCAAATGACTAAGGCTTTTTCAGACAGGCTGGACAACGTCTATGGCAGCAAGTTCCAAGTATTGCAGATTCCTCATTAAATGAGCTGGCTTATCAATTATCCAGTTACAGTTTTTAGTCATTGCAATAAAAACACACATTTTTTGGTCATTTCTACTTCATGTTGACTACTTCAGTGTGAGCAGCTTTCTATGAGCCTTCTGTTGTTCACACTGATCCTGGTCCCGCTGGAGGTTTCTTCATGTTAAAAGAGAGTTTTTCCTCTCCACTGTCACTGCATGCATGCACACAGTCTGAGGGACTGTGGTAGAATCAATGCAAGCTGAACTCTACTGTCACCACATGTTCATCCAGGAGGTGATCTTGCAGCATTTCCCTTAGATCTTGTAGGTTTTTAATCAGTCTGAAAGGAGGATCTGATTGAATCGTCTCTGTAAAGTGCCTTTAGATGACATGTGTTGCGGATAGCTGCTATTTAAATAAACTGATTTTAAGTGAAATAATAGAGAGCAACTTATTATGTGTTAAAGGCGCCTGTTTTGCTCAGACCTCTTTGATTTACATCCAAGCAACAGCTTTCATATGACTTATTGCAAATTACAAACTTCTTTGGTTTCTCTCTCTCTCTGTTTTTCTGTAAAATGTGCAATGCCAGCATCAAAGGGTCACACATTCTTGGTAGTTTTTTTTCATTTAAATCAAGCAGACGCCCTGGTAGCAAGTTATGTAACAACCATCTCTCTGTGTTTATGACAGAGCCCACCACTCTGGAGGTGGAGATAGGAGTATGCTGTGTTTTTGGGGGTGGGGGGCAAAGCCTTGTGTTCATTGTGACGCTTCAAAGGCCTCTCTGTGTGTCCACCATATAAGCGCCTGGGAATGGAACATTTGTGACAGTGTTACATCACAGAACAGGCCCTGAAGGCTTCTGCCTCACTGCATGAAAGATGGCTCATTCATGGTTAATTTTACCCTCATGGACACAAACAGAGGCCTGAAAGTGGCCAACTAGAATTTTCCATGGTCATCTCTCACTATTGGAGCAGTTTAGGAACTCCCTGCTGTGCTGGTTGTATCTTAGTGAGTGGCCAGCGTGTCTCCTGCACACAATGTGACCATTGCTGCCAAATACTGTTTCATTTGTGTGCCCAGTCACAAGCTGAGCTTCACGAGGCCCCCAGAACATCAGTGGATTAGAGCAGCAAGATATGACACAAGTTAGGCTATACAGATATGATAAGGACATTCAGAGATCAAGTTTGCATGACTCCACTTCTTACTGGTGTGGTATGATTATGTCAGTTTACAGGGGGGGGGGTCTTGTTACAGTTTACTTTAGTTACTACCAATCATACACAGACTGTTGCTGTTAGCTTACAATACTAAACTACAGTAGGGACACTGGTTTGAGTAAAACTTTTTGTAAGCTTCCTAAATTTATTGCCTATACCAAAACAAACAGCACATGATCCTGAACATGATCTTCACCGTGAAGCATTATGGCGATGGCAGCAGCATGCTGACAACATTACAAGGTCAAGAGGTGGTTTGTATCAAAGCATATAATTATGTTAAAATGAATCAGTCAAACACAGAACAAATTCAAAGAAGAAAAAGAGAAACTGAAGGAGTGTGTATTTGATCACCACGGACACTCTCCATTCATTCTGACTAAGCTTGAGTTATTTTGAAATAAAGTTTGGCCCAAACTTTCAACCTTTAAATGCGTAAAGCTTGTGTTGGACAGATTACTTAAAATCCATCTATTTATTTTAGTTAGAATTTCATTTACTGTGAAAGCAAAGTAGTAACTAGTCACTAGGCAAGGAAACTATGCAGTCATTTATCATGATATAAAATGTTTTTGATTTGAATGTCTTCCCTGACATCTGAACTTTGAATACCACAGTTCAAATTTGTTAAAAAATGTTTAATATTATTTAATTAAATAACGAACAAAGCAATGAATGAAGAGGACTACATGTGTGAAAACAGTATATACTAATCTACATCATTTTGTTGTGTGCCATGGATCAAGTGAGTCAAGACATACAATGAAAATATATACTAGCAAATATAAATATGTCTAAAATCAAACAAATGAAGCAAGATAAAGGTTTTGGAATGTCATATTATGCAAGTTACAATGCTCCAGCTACTTATAAAATAGGCATAACACTGAAAAAGAATGCCTGTACTACCGATATTTTGTTTGTCAAAAGCAACAATAAGCATTTCATATGAATTTAATAACACTGAAGTATTTTTAAATATATTTGACAATGACCCATTTGCCATTGTTAGAATTAATAACACTTTTTGAATAAATTAAGAAAAACATTTGTCCCTTTAATTTTACAGTTATGTACCACTACTCTGGCTCAGTCTTATGGATACTTATGAAAGTGACCATGTGATCATCAAATACAACAATAGGACCATAGGGAATAAATGCAGGTTTTACAGTTATGATTTGATGGATTTTGCCCCCTTGATCTGATGCCATAGTTAGAACATTTCTTGTCTCTATGGGCCCTTTAGTGGGCACTGATTTGTGTTCACTGTGTGCTTATCTTTTGAGACACCTTGTTTAGTTTGACTTCACATCCTCCAAACCAGGACGCTGACAGCTTTAGCTTTTGTAAGTGAAAATACAAAGAGGGTAAGATTGGGATGCAGGAGAACAAAGAGAGGTGCAAGGTTCACATTATTCTCAGAAGCTCTTCTTTGAAGTCTGTCAAACAAGATTTTACGTGTATGGTTAAGTTTTAATAGTAATTCTTCACTCATTGTCGCTATGATTTAGCATACTAGTTCACTTCATATTTCCACATCATATATTAGGCTTGACCCCTCATGAATAAAGACTACAATGCCTGGAAGGACCTGTCTTTTTTAAATAATATTTGCTATTAATTGCTACAGAAATAAAGAATAGAGAAAAGCAAAACACAAGCGATAAATCCAAGAGTAAAAAAAAGAGGCATTTTTAAGGACACAAACACCAGAGAAGCAACTTTTCTTTGAGTGGATGAGTCAAAAGTCACTCTATGGCTCTGAAAGATGCATTCTAAAACTGAGAAATTAAATTCAATACAAACTTCTGGATTTTGGAAAACTAATCAAACTTAATACATAAAAAAAGAAAATGTATCTGTCTATAGCAACATTATCAGTTTCAGTTCAGTTTTTTTTTATTTTTTTTTATCAAAGTGTGAATAGTAGCGCTTTATCAAGTCCAAGGACTTCAAAACTTGTTGCCGAACATTTACTGATTAGCCCATTCACAAGCTGGTGCTGGTAAGCTACACTGTAAAAGCAGCTGTCCTGTGTCAGACTAACAGAAGCAAAGCTGCCATATTGGTGCCACTGGGCCCTCAGACTATCAACAGAAGGCAAGGTGGGAAAAACATCTTGCTAAAGACAAAACATCAGAGATAGAGTGGAGGACAAACCACTTACTCTTGATCTACCGTTAAAATCAATGAAGTTGAATACAACTAACACAACCCACTGACATTTATATTTCTATGCTGTTCATTTATACCTTCCTGCAATCACTAAACATCTGGGAAAATAGCTTCCTTTTTGTCTAATAAGGTCTTAATGTAAAATTCAAAATAGCAGTCAATGCTGAGGCTTACTATCTAACCTGCATCTACCTTTTCACCGAAATGGCAAATAGCTCCAGCTATATACAAAATGCTAAAAACTGAAAGTACAGCAAGATAGCATTTTGATATTACAATACATATTTATATATATCTATTTATCTATATTTACAAACATTAAAAAGAAGCTCAACCAAGCAGATCCATATCGGGGATCCTCTTAACCCCACAATTAACATCCATTTGCAATGCCCTTACATTAAATTGTATGTATATGTTGTGTGAATTCGAAGTGAGACAGATTGATACATTTTTGCCCAAAATATTCATACTCTGCCAGCTAGAGTTACTCTGCCAACTATGGGTTACGCTAATCTTAAACATTAGGGCGATGGCAAGGAAGACATCCAACCTCAAAGATTAACAGCTCATCTTAAAGGATGAGTTGTCATAATAGCAATGGTGCAAAAAAGCTAAATTGATGAAGCCATTGCTATAATGGCTGATTTCTCTAAGGATTTTTGAGAGTGGTGTCAACGGTGTTGTTTTTGATAGCCATCTTAGTGGCATTTTAGTCATTATATGTGATAGTTGTAGTCGGCTTTAGTCTTACAAAGGTTTTAGTCTAGTTTTAGTGTTATGTTGCAAAAAACGTTAACCTTTACAATTTTGAATGAAATA